ATAAGTAATATATTGTTAAAACAAATTCGATTTTATTTATTTTTTTTTGTATTATATATATATAAATAGATAAAATAACATTTTCCTTATTTCACTTTTAATGTTACTACTAACTATTTGGATTATAAAAAGTGAAATGTATATATTATTTATGTAAATTTAATATCATTGGAGAGAAGGATTTCCTTTTAAAATAATTTATCATTTCTCACTATTTAAAAATTATCAAAATGTGACAATCACAACAATCTAATTTTCCACAAAAATTATTTACGCAAACGCAATAGCAACAAAAAACAAATTACGCCATCACTACTCCGCGCTTTACTACATATTGTTTTGTGTTTACTGTTTATATCAATGAAGATATAATATTATACCACAAATAATTAAGAATGATTTGAATTATTTTCAAACGTTTGGCACTCTGGTAGTTGTGCATGGTGTAACTTAAACTTGATCTGCTCGTAATAGTGTTCTGACTGTTTTTAATTGTACGTGTAAACACATGTTACTGCATTTGGAATCGTAACATGTAACTGCTTGCTATATATATATATAACTTATTATAAAAATTATAATATATTTTATGTTTCTTATCTAAATATAGTTTTTAACCTTTGTTTTTTCTTGACAGATACTGTGCCAGCAATTAATTAGGAAATTCGATATATTATAAATTTTGAATGAATATAAAATATATTGTTATTGAATGGTTATATATTCAGAAAAGATGAATGAAAATTTATTTTATTAATATACTTTCAAGGAAAAACATTTATATTTTAGTGTAATCCAGTGTAACAAATAATGTGTTTTGGATAGTACGAATATTTTTATTCTTTTAATAATTTCAAATAACAAGTTTTTATAATCATAAAATTCAATAAAATTACAAAATGTGTTGGAAAAGTAGAGGTCAAACAGAAGCAACGGAGTAAGATACAGTCGTTGTTCCAATATCTGAAGATAGGATGGTTTTGCAAAAAGTTACTGGACGTTTTTTGAAAGGTTTCAGTAATGCGGCAATTAAACGATGTAATTGTAATAACAAGACTCAAAATCGACTGTATGGTACAGTATCAAGGCTTACACCTCAAGAGGTAATGAATGATTTATTTTCATTTTTGTATATAAGATAAATTTATACAGGAAAAATATAAATATTTTTTGATATAGGTCACTGCTATTTTACAAGCTAATGAATTTACCAAAGAATTTACTGGTTCATCTTCTGTAAAGTATTACGATTCTAATCAGTTGGCATCTAATAATCCTATAGAAGATACACGATCTGAAGCACAATGTTTATTGACTAAAGGTAACATAGTTATAACAAATTTTTAAGTTATAGGATTAAGTCATATAATAATCAAGTTTAATTTTAACTATAAGTTAAGACTGCATATAGAATATATTTATAACAGTACAGTCAATGTGTTAATAGGCACATTAAAGCATTATTCTATATTTATTTATCTTTTCATAGGTTTGTTATTGGGAGTATTCGATGGTCATGGCGGTGGTGCCTGTGCACAAGTAATATCAAAACGGCTGTTCCATTATATATCTGCATGTTTACTTCCTCCTAAGCTATTAAGGCAATATTTGGATTCTATTAATTCCAATAAAGAATTAGAACTATTAAAAACTTTCAATGATAAAGTAGAGTTAGTTTCTGAAATAAAAGATCTTTATCGAGATAGCTTTTTAACATTTTTAAAGGATCTAATGCAAACTGGGTCTATAAAAGAGTTTCAAATGGAAGCAGCATTGGAAAATGCATTTGTCAGATTAGATAATGATTTATCTAATGAAGCTTTATTAAATTTACATAATAAAGATTCAGTACGAACACTTACAGTTGCTATGTCAGGAGCTGTAGCAGCTGTAGCACATATAGATGGTCCACATTTGCACGTTGCTGGTGTCGGAGATTGTCAAGCAGTGCTCGGAGTACTTTCAGGTATTAAATTTACTTTTTTGTTCTTTACTCGATTATTAAATGATAAAAGTAGGATATATAAGTAATTAGACAATATTATATATTTATGTACAGTCTACATATATATTTGTATAAATGTTATATAATTTAAATTCTATTAAAAATAATTTTTAAACCATCAGAGTACGTGTTCGTCTTTATAAAGACATGATAGTTCATATTTAACTGTGCAAAATTTAGATTATTACAAAGAGTTTGTGAATTTTCGTGATTATTTTTACAGAAAATGATGTGTGGTCAGCAAAAGTAATGACTAAAGAACATAATAGTGATAATCGAGCAGAAGTTGAAAGAATTTTGTCAGAGCATCCACTGCAAGAGAAATCTACTGTGATAAAAATGGAACGACTACTTGGACAATTAGCACCTCTTCGTTCTCTTGGAGACTTTCAATATAAGTGGAATAAAATGATTATGAAGCAAGTAGTAGTGCCAATCTTTGGCGAAAATGCAATACCGCCAAATTATCATACACCACCATACTTAACAGCAAAACCTGAAGTAAAGTATCATAGGTTGACACCTAGAGATAAGTTTCTGATAATAGCAAGCGATGGATTGTGGGATTTAATATCACCTTTACAAGCTGTACGATTGGTAGGAGAACATATTAGTGGGAAAGTTACATTAAATCCATTGAGATTACCTCGCAAAAACATGAAATTATCTGATATTAATGAAATGTTACTTCAGCGTAAAGAAGGCTTAAAAAAGAAACCTCTTGATAGTAATGCAGCAACACACTTATTGAGAAATGCTCTTGGTGGTACAGAATTTGGTATAGATCATGGGAAATTATCACAATTATTAACTTTGCCAAGTAAAGTGGTACGAATATTTCGTGATGATATAACAATAACTGTCGTTTATATGGACTCTGAATTTTTAAGGCACTGCCCGCCATGACTACGTATCTTGTTATTTTTCTACAAGTTACAGAAAAGATTTAATCCGTTGTAAATTCTCCCTTTATTACAATGTATAGATTGTTATTTATGGCAATAACAATAAACATGATTTACACGGGGATAATGTGTTCTGATTACCACTTGTTTATATTTTTATTTGTTTACATATGTATGCATTTGTGTTTTAACTTGTGACATTTCTGTATTGAAATGCACATATTGATTATATTTAAAATAATTAATAACTAAATCTATCTCTGCACGCATTATAATATATACTATTAAGTAAACACTGAATTTTAGTGAATAGTTTACAAAACAAAATGCATTAAAAAATAAGACAAGTACATTACAGATATTTCAAATTGTTCGTACTTTACGTTGCATTTACTGTAAAAATATATCCATCATTAAATGTTTATTCTTTATTAAAACATCAAAAAGAATAAACATTTAACCAAATAAATCGTGATTTTGACTTATGTATCTACCATCATCTTTTTTTTTCTTTCATGTAAGTATATAAATGAAATAAGAAAAATAGAATAAGTTTAGTATTTTATACTTAATTTGTTAGATTTAATTATAACTTTTACAAGGTAAAACATTATACATTTCTATTATACTGAAAATTTACTTCTCTGCTTTGCATGTTAGAATGAACAGTAATCTAAATCTCTTATAGATAAAATTTAATAATTGTTTATGTCAAAATATAATTCATTTTGCATTTTATATACTAGTGCATAATAATAAAAAATTGTAGTAAATATTATAGATTGTTAGCCTATGGTGAATTCATCATTTTTCTATAATGAAATAGAGAGAGACAAAAGATAAAGGAGTATGCACTTCTTTTTAGATATCTTTATACAAACACTGTTAAGTATAATTGTTTCTCAAAGATTAACAAGGCAAGCACGTATAACTGAAAATATGCTCTTATAAAGAATTAATTTACATCATAAAAAGTATCCAAGGATCAACCTTCTTGTCCAAAATCTTCTTTAAACTTTTCCAGTTTTGCCATATCATCTTCATTTACTGTTGGACGTGTTGTTGCTAAGGATTTTTGCATATCTCTCTGTAAGTATCAAATGAGTAATATTAAGTAGATCACATATATACTGTCTAAATAAATTTTGCACAAGAACTATTATCTATGTACCATCGTTACAGGAGGAATAAATAATTTATCGCCATCTACTTCCATCCAGCTCATTTCAATAGCATCCGGATCTCCAGGAGAACATGGTGTGAGCAAATCAGTTACAATGACGGATGGATCCTTTGGAGATGGTCCTCTTACTTTTTTGAAGTGGGTGGCTGTTTGAACTTGTCTAACAGGTTGCATGAGAGAATCCCTCACAATGATACTTATATCTGCTCCTGAATAACCCTCTGTGGCAGCTGCTAATTTTTTGAAATCATCATCTGATAAACAATGCGCTGTACTTCCTAAGTGAAGTTTAAACATAACAGCACGTGCTTGTTCTTCAGGTAGTGGAATGTATATTCTCTTTTCAAATCTCCTTCTAATAGCAGAATCTAATACCCAAGGTATATTAGTTGCACCCAGAACTAATATGCCATCATTATCTGAGCCCACTCCTACAATGAATATATAAATTTAGAAATGTAAACCAAGTCTTAAATTATATTACATTATTCCAAAGAAGTTCCTTTATACCTTGCATTTGCACTAAAAACTCAGTCTTAATTCTTCGTGCAGACTCAGACTCATTATCAGAGCGAGATGAACAAAGTGAATCTATTTCATCAATGAATATAATACTTGGCTTATGCTGACGTGCTAAATCAAACAAATTCTTCACAAGTTTTTCAGATTCACCTAACCACTTGCTTACCAAATCCGAAGATGAAACAGAGAAAAATGTAGAATTGTTAGCCTCTGTTGCCACTGCCTTTGCTAAGTATGATTTACCTGTACCTGGAGGCTGCATTAAACAATATATAATATTAATATCATAATAATCTAACACAAATATATAATATTAATCTCTAATTATTTATATAGATTTCATGTTTTAAATTACATATACGTTGAATAAACTTACCCCAAAAAGTAAAATACCTTTCCAAGGTATACGTTTTCCTGTAAACAAATGTGGAAATCGTATTGGCAAGATAACAGCTTCTTTCAAGGCCTCTTTTGCCCCATCAAGACCAGCAACATCGTTCCATTTGATATCTGGCTTTTCTATAATAATTGCTCCTTCTAATTTAGTTTGAAGTTTTTTCTTCTCGGGGTCACTATCAGTATCACTGTCCCCACTATCACTTTTTTTATCTTCTGTCTTTGCATTATCTTCACCTGCTTTTACTGGTTTCTTCTTACTTTTTTTCAAGTATGCCTTTAATGTTTCTGCTCTTTCAAGATATTGCAAGCATCTTGATCTTATACTTTCTTTAGCTCTATCACCTTGTGCTTCGTCTAATTTAAATTTTATTATTGTAATATTAATGGACAAGTTATTATAATAACAGAATATATTGTTAGAAAATAAACATACATTTGATAGAGTGAAGAAAATACTCCACAGCATGTTCATATAATCTAAGTGCTTCTTCATAATTTTTCTTGCGATCTTCCTCTGTAGCTTTTGTCACCAGTTCAATAGCTTTCTGCAAATATTACATAATAAAATTAATATCTCAGCATTATATTTAATTTAATATTATAATCTTACCGCCAGTATAGTTCCTGCAGCCATAATGGTAAAGGATGAATTGATTTCTAACCTTTACTTAGCTGTATAGTAAAAGAAATATTAATCTTACTTCTTTATTACGAAATACTACTAATGTCGTTCCCAACCAAAAGAAGAAAAGAATTAGAATATACAGGCAAAATCTAAAGTACACACTTTTCTACATATGCAATAATATAATTTACAAAATATTATAGAACGTTCTCCAAGATCCTATGTTAATCCTCAACCTTCAAAATTCAGTTGTCCAACGTCATAATCGAATGTCATACTTCATGTATATACCAATGCATATACAGCCGTACAAATCTGAGACCACAATCGTAATTAATTATCAGGAAGTTACGATTTTAAAGATACTTTAAACTTTATATATTTGACGTATTTCTTTCTATTATCTCTACATCAATGCTAACACTAACAGAATAAACACAAATACACGTCGAATCTGGAATAAGAATTGAGTTCATATATGTATATGTGAAAAAAAATGAATATACATACATATATCACTCAATATAAAAATAAATATATAGATACAGATAGATAGATAAGTAAATTAAACCGAAAATGGTGATAAAACAATTAATTAAATAGGACAATAATAAGTACTTTTAGTAATTTCCAAAATATCAACTTCTACAAATATGACAGTTAAATTTGCCCATTGATGAGAAAACGACGATATTATTAGACATTGCGATCAGTAACATTTTAGGGATATTTTTTTTGTAGTGGTACCGATTTTACCAGATTTCTGCAACATTTCTTTTTTTAATCCTGTAAGTCTTTTTTTCTCTGTACCTGTTCAAAAAAACCTGTTCTTGAGGAGTAAACTCCTTCAATTAATAATTAAAACAAAATATCTATATTAGATTTCTAATTGTTTGTTTTTAAATGTATATAGAATTTAATTAAACATTCACAATGTGTACAGTACTTCCTATAAAAAGTTACTAGGAAATAAGAAAGTTTAAAATATATTGAAATCTAGTAACATTTTTTAGCCTCATATCGGTAATTGTAGTGCTCTACTTTTATCATACCGGTAACTTACCATCAGAATTACCGACAATAAAAAAATTTACCGCAGAATAAAATTTATAAATGCTCTTAATTGCTCAATAATTGCTCATTAATCCACCATAATTGCACGCTTATTAATTAATTATTTCATAAGTTATTAATAATTGAAAATATTTTGATGGTAAGTTACCATCAGAATTACCGACAGTAAAAAAATTCACCGCAGAATAAAATTTATAAGTGCTCTTAATTGCTCAATAATTGCTCATTAATCCTCCATAATTGCACGCTTATTAATTAATTATTTCATAAGTTATTAATAATCGAAAATATTTTGATGGTAAGTTACCATCAGAATTACCGACAGTAAAAAAATTCACCGCAGAATAAAATTTATAAGTGCTCTTAATTGCTCAATAATTGCTCATTAATCCTCCATAATTGCACGCTTATTAATTAATTATTTCATTAGTTATAGATAATTAAAAATATTCTCGGTCGGTAACAAAACTTACCGACCGAGATCTGATGGTAACTTACTTTCAATTACTAATAACTTATGAAATAATTAATTAATAAACGTGCAATTTTAGAGGATAAATAAGCAATTAATGAGCAATTAGGAGCACTTATAAATTTTATTCTGCGGTAAGTTTTTGTATTGTCGGTAATTCTGATGGTAAGTTACCGGTATGATAAAAGTAGAGCACTACAATTACCGATATGAGGCTAAAAAATGTTACTAGATTTCAATATATTTTAAACTTTCTTATTTTCTAGTAACTTTTTATAGGAAGTACTGTACACATTGTGAATGTTTAATTATATTCTATATACATTTAAAAACAAACAATTAGACATCAAATATAGATAATTTGTTTTAATTATTTATTAAAGGAGTTTACTCGTTAAGAACGATTGTCTTTGAACAGGTACAAAAAAAAGACTTACTAAGTTAAAAAAAAAAAGAATACTTTAAAAGTTTTCTCGAAAATTGAGATTCTTAACAGGATTACATGATGTGCAAGTAGGTATCACGGTTTTAGACTTTTCCAAGAAATGACGTTGTTCTTAAGCTGTTGCTATGTGTTGATAATCCATTGGATGTTTTATGATTATTTTCCGAGTATCGGTACACGGACTTTATTTATTTCAGCTGGATGGTGCCCTAATTTGACGCTCAAAATCATCAATCGTCACCATGGGGTGGCCCCCTAATAGGAGCTTAGAAAAATCTTCTTCCAAAAGATGCATATGCTCTACTGCTATTATAAATTCCTGTTAAAAATTAAAGTATAAAACAAAAGATATATAATTTTACTATTATTTAGGACAATCTCAAATTATTACATACATTTTGTTTCTTCAAATTATCTATAAGTAATAATTGCTTTTTAAACGCTTGAAGTAATTCTAAACGTTGTTTTTCTAAATGTTTTATTCCTTGTCTTTTATCTTCTCGAATCTGTCTAATTTGATCTCGTAATTCCTGTATACGTAGGTAGAAAACATAAGAAAGTGACTTCATCTACATTTTTATAATAAAAATATACATTTATGTTCAATATTTGTAGCCAGAAAACATACATACTTTTTCTTCAAGATGAATAAATTTAATAGTACTTTTTAATTTCTCATTTTCTTCTAAAGATCTATTTAATCGTAAGTCATAGTTATTTAATTGATGATTTAAAGTCTTTATTTCTTTTCTTAGTTCTTCTAAATCCTAAACATTATGTTAAAATTAATATTTTACAAGATAATCGCATACACACAATCCAAAAAGTAATAATTTATACCTTTTTCAAATTTGAATTTTCAGTATTCAAAGCTAAATTCTGATCATGTAAATTAGAATTGTTATTTTCAAGTTTTGTAATTGTTTCTTTCAATAATGTTATTTGTTTATGTAATTTTGACTTGCAGCAATTAAGCTTTTTATTTTCATTTTCCAATTTCTCGCAATAATTTACCTGCAATTATTGGGGGAACGTAAATTTAATTATATTTAAAAATAAAACAATGCTTTTTCTATAAAATTATACTTTCGAACTGGCATTACCTTATTTTTATATTCAAGTTGAATCACTTTATATTCATTATGAAGCATATTTAGCTTTGTTTTAAGAAAATTAATAACAGCTTTGTTCTCTGCACCATTTCCTTCATATGAAACAATCTCGTCGTTAACTTTATTGCCATCATTTTGATTTTGGAAATTTGCAACGTTTCTAATTAAAATTTTTATAAAATAAAAAACTTATTACGAGTGAGATGCATAAAAAATTTGCAATTTTATTTACGTAAACAAAACACATTACAATAATTGATTAATATATTTTTTGATTGATTCATTACTATGGTAAATTTATTTATAATTTACCTATGCATTTGCTTACAATATTTATTATATACTTACTGTTTTAATAAATTTGGTGTTTCTTCTGTTAAAGTATGTAACGAACCAGCATTTAGTTTAGTTGTGACATTTGGAAGTAATTTATTATTTATAATCATTGAATATTCTACATTTTTTATACCCATATCCTTAGTATGAGGTGTAACATCATTCTGTCTAGATGATTTATTATGAATCTGTTGATCTGCAATAGATCTAATTTCTTCCAAAACATGACGCGTTTTTATTTCCAATTCTTTATTTAATCGATGTAATTCTTTTTCCTTATTTAATAGTTCATCAGACATTTGTATTGTTATAAAACACGCTACTTAATATTCTATTGATTACAAATACTACACAATTATTATATAGCCAATACTATACGAAATTATTTTTTGATACATATACTATATATTTATATATATATGGATATATTTAAACAACATTTTTAAGGCTGCATAGTACTCAAAACATATGTGACTTTAATGACAGGCGTAGAAAAACAAGAACTACAAGGAAAGATTGTTTTTATAGTGTTTAAAATTTAGTACTTTTTAGTTTCGGGAGTTGTCTTCCTTGCTTACATTTAATTTTATGTTTAAGGCGGCAGTTTTTCGTTTTCAAACAATTGATAGTGTTGTAGATCTATCTTGTATATCGTAACTAAGTAAAAAAGAAAGGTTTACGAATAAATCATAAATCCATTGTCTATTTAAAAATATTAATATGACAGCACGTATTATTTTACAAGGTATATTCAATTGTATTTATCTGTATTTTGTATAAACAAAAAATTATGCATATGTTTTTATTATATATTGCATATTAAAACCAAACAATTTTTTTATCTTATAGTGTTTGATCAATACCAAAAAGCACGATTACTTTTTGTACAATCCATTGCTAATCTTGCATCAAAGCCTAACAATATTGAATGTTTGGAAGCTGCTGGTGTTATAAATTTACTTAAACCTTTGTTATCAGATGTAGTCCCTTCTATTCAGCATATGGCTGCAATTGCATTGGGTAAATTGGCGAATCATGATATTAACTTGGCACAAAATATTATTCAAGAAGATATTTTACCTCGTTTGTTGCACAATATAGAAAAACAAAATGTACGAGCTTGGTGAATGTAAGCACTTAATACTTAGATAGTTTCAAGTTAAAAATTATTAAAATTAATTATAAAAATTATTTGAATATTTTTTCTCTCAAGTATATAGTAATAAGATTATTTTTTTGCAGTAGTTATACATTTATATTTTCATAATTATTATATCAGTTATATACAAATATATTTTTTCTTTTAAATAAATTGTTATAGAAATATTATAAAAAGGCAGCATTATTTATATTACGTGCTATTGCAAAACATTCACCAGAAACAGCATCAATTATAGTACAAATGAATGGACTAGATGCAATGATTATATGTTTAGAAGATTTTGATTCTGGTGTCAAAGAAGCAGCTGCTTGGGGATTTGGATATATAGCTAGACATAATAAAAATTTAGCACAAGCTACTGTAGATGCAGGTAAGTATAACATATTTGAAAGATTGTAATTTCTAATACTTGTTATTACTACATATTACTCAGGTGCAGTACCACTCCTTGTTTTATGTTTGCAAGAGCCAGAATTGTGTCTTAAACAAATTAGTATATCAGCCCTTTGTGATATAAGTAAACACAGTAAGGACTTAGCTCATACTATTGTGGATGCTGGTGCCATTCCATATTTATCAAAAGCATTATCTAATCCTGATGTCAAGTTGAAGGTTTATTAATATAATTTATTACAAGATTATTTTAAGATTATATTCATAAAAAACTTTGTTTCCAGCGACAAGTTCTATCAACATTAGGGAGCATAGCAAAACACAGTGCAAATCTAGCAGAAACTGTTATAGAGGCAGAAGTATTCCCTAATGTTTTATTACACATGGGTCATCCTGATGAAAATGTAGCTAGAACTGCAGCAATTCTTACCAAAGAAGTTTGCAAGCATACTTCAGAAGTAATTCTTAAACTGCATTAAATTTAATTCGTAAACTTTCATTAAAGTTACTATTACACTTAAGGGTATTTAATTTTTTATATTTGAATCTTATTTTTTAGCTGGCACAATTGATTGTCAATGTTGGAGGTATAGGTGCTTTAAATGAATTAATAAATACATCAAAGTTGACAAATAAACTACCAGCAATAATGGCACTTGGATATATTGCTGGGCATTCTGATCAGTTCGCTACAGCTATTATTGGATCGATGGTATAAGAAACAATATATAAATATAAAATATATATTATATTATATAGTCATATATTTAAATACACTTTGCGATTATTATAGAGTGTTATTCAATTGGCTATAATCTTAGAAAATGAAACTGATGACCATATACTTGCTGTAACTGCTTGGACATTAGGTCAAATAGGAAAACATACACCAGAGCATGCAAAATCAGTAGCTGATGCAGATGTCCTTTCAAAATTATTAGAAGTATGTAAGTTCTTTAAAAAAAATTATATTTATAATTAACCTGATATATCTATTCTATTTTTTCTCTTTTTTATTTTATTAACAGTTCTATATCAATCCAAAGAGTTCAGATGATCTAAAAATAAAAAGTTATACGTCATTAAAGCAGATACTTCAAAAATGTTTGCATATTGAAGCATTAGAAACACTCATCTATGATGCTCCTCCAAATATTTTGAGATATGTACTTCGACAATTTAGCAAGGTAATTTCTAAGAATGCTATAAATATTTCTTTTATGTTGATAATATATATAAATTGGTGTTTCATATGTAATCGTATAATCAATTGATTTGAAGGTGTAGGTATTGAACCACATTACCGGTTATTAAATATAGTGTTAATGATTTATTATTTAATCTATACATATCAGTGAAATGTGTACAAATGATGTGTTTTACAAAGTGATGATATATTATTTTCCAATTAACATATAGACATAAGAAAGGTTTTATTGCCTTTTGTCTATTTTAAATTGTGTTGACAATCAACATAAATGTTTTTATTTATTTGTATATAATGGCTTATGGTAAAATCTGTATAAGATGACTTGCTTTCATATACATAAGGTAAAATATAATATAGAAGTGAATTGATAGATATTCATTAAACTATTCATATATAAATCTTTCGCTCTACGTAAAAATTGGTCAAGCAGCTGTATAAGTGTGCTTTTATTGTAAATATTTATGCAAAAAGATATTGTTTCTTTTTAATTTATAACATAATCCTTTTCTAATTGCTAAATACAATTAACTCCACCTTAAATGTAATAACTGAAAAATATTCGAAATTTATAAATTATTTAATTTTTCATATTATTAATATTTCTTCTATATTTTTACTTTTAACTCTAATAAATAACTCGGACTATTATACTGACATTTAATTATCTTAATAGAAGATGTACTTTCAAGCTATTAATAATAATTAACAGGATTTACAGATATGCTATATAGTTTTTTTGTTTAATAATTTTATAATCAACAGCAAATAGAGAAATTTTTAATTACACAAACATATTTAGGTTATTTTTCTCTAAAATTTTCTCTAAGTTATAGTATGGCACATTTGAAGTTCCAAAAAAGCACATTTCTCAGTCTTTCGACATTGAATGGTCATCTAAAATTCAAGGATAATTTTTTATTAATTTTCTTTTTGTTATGTGTATAATACTATGTATTAAGATTTGATGAAAAATGTATGGAATGTTTTTCTTACTTAACTATACCCTATCGCCTTCTACTACTTCAACTATTATATTTTCTAATGGCAGTATTTTGTATAAAGAGAAATAGTATACAAAACGTACAAAAATGGAGAGACAAATATTAAATAAGCCTCAAAAGTTGTATATAGTAATGAACTGTTAACAAAAAAGACTTTGATTTAATATTTGTATGAATCAGCTTCATTTGCTATATCAAAGTATATTGGTGTTTTATTATTTTCCATCATTTTGAAAATGTAAAAATCATTAATTGTAATAGAAATAGTACGGTATTATAATTCCTTTTAGTAAAGATTCATAATAATAATAGCACAACCCGGTGTATATAATATTTTCTCATAATACATATATATATATATATCACTGGTATAAATTTATTTAATCAGTAGTTTCATCTTGAAAAGATTAAGACAAAGATTAGTCTGTTGCAGAATTAATTAGTTTTCCTTTTTTCAGATCAATAACTCTACAAAAATATTTACTATTGAAAGTAATATTTAATATTCAAATTTATCGTATTTTATTTTATTGTAAATTTTAAAGAATAAAACATTAAATTACCATTTAATGAATTATTACCATTTTATGAATTGCCATTTAATTGAATTATTTCACCAAGAAAATATAAAATATGTAATAATAAAATAATCCTAGCGCTCAATTAAATGAATATATCATAAAACAGATCATAAAATTTAAAAAAAAGAATTGCATAGTATATACATATATTTTACTGCCAATTTACCAAAATTTATGTCTTGTAACATGTTCAAATCGTATGGCAAATAAACCAAATATTCGATTCAGAGCATGCAATCTGTCCGAGTATTTCTGAAAAAGGAAATTAACAATATTATTCTTTCATAAACAAAAATATTTTCCTTCTATAAAAGCTACATTTAGTAATAGGTTGCATTATTATGTGATTTCATTGATTCTTAATTAAACATTGAAAAGTACGTCAGTATCTTTAATTTATATCATGCATTTCTGGTTCTTTTTTCCAATTTATATTACAATATGTAAAAATGCATGAAAACTTTGTATCTTTTAATATGATATCTCTTTGGCAGTTACCTTCTTTGGTATATTTTTATTCCTTTGAAATTAGTAAAATAAAAATGATAAATAAACAAACTTGGTATTATATAGAATATTTTCTCCGAATGTATATATATAGTATTATAATGTAATCAATTACAAATAGTTATAATTTATATTTTGTCTGATTATGTAGATGCTTTAAAGTGAGTAGACTAGAAATGAATAATATTGTTTTAATGACGCTGAAAGATATGTGCAATAATAATGTTAATAAGATATTAAATAATAAAAATATTTTTCCAGATTACTAATAAAATTAAATAAACTATTCATTCATCTGCTTCATCGTTAGGTTTTATACTAGCATAACTATTCATGTTTCTATTCACTTTTAGCATCTTTAGAAAACTGCCTATTACCAATATAGTTTTTCTATGCCTTCTGAAGATTCCAGCATAAAGCTCTTCGCGTACATCCCTTCTATCACTAACATCAGAATCAATACTTGAAACTGAAACGACTGAAGGTTTGGCAGAGACAGGTTGATGATAATTATGTGTTTCACCCGTATTGAGAATAACACAATCTGGATTGTCTTTCATGTTGACTAACAATGATAGTACTGCTTACAAAGTTATACACTTTTATCACCTTCTTTGCAAAAGTATTCTCTAAAAAGAATCACTTTTAATAAGCACTCATATCTCTTTGATTATAATAAAAGCTATAGTATTTTCCTATTTTCATAACAAATAATTTTGACTATTTGAATTTACAACTACTTCTGTTCATATAATGATTAAATTATAAATCTCTTTTTAAGAGTTAACTTATAGTTTTTTAACATTCAACAATAGATATAGATATAGATATAGATTTTATAAAGTTTAGGAATAAAATACTTGTGTATATTCTAATATATTTCTACACTGTAATTAACAACTAATTAACTTACAGATGTTTTGTATAGGTGCATATATATGTGCATATATATACACAAACCACATACACATAAACAAATATACACAATATGTATAAATATACACGCGTATATATATTTTAATAATGTCACTATAACAGAGATGTATCTCTTCCCTCTGATCTAAGTGAACTGATTTTGTAAGATACGTTTATGTGCTTATATAGAAACTTCTGGTTAAATTTAAACGGTACGTGATTTGTTACAAGATTTTAATATCTTTCGTAAATTTGAAAGAACGCTACTCGACTGTTGCAAATATAAGGCAGTTGTCTCGTTGTCGGTGTTCTATGTACCAATGGATCTTGGTGTTTAGTAGAATATAATCTAATTTGGTTTCTTCAGGCGATTCAGTCACTGTACTTTATTGATTTGACATACGATATACATTTTATAATGATATCTATTCTTTATTTGAATTTTTCTTCAATTATACGTATGACGCACTTCTTCATCAAAATTGTTATTCGTTGCTTTTTTTTCATAATGTTGACGATAGATTTATGATAAACGTAACTATCATATAGAATAATGTTTGTATAACAGCTCTCTTATAATTTTGTATTATCTTTTCACGGTTCACCACCGTTTTCTCTTCATAAATATCCTCACTAATGTTGAAGTTGTAATTTATTTTTATTTTCAAATTTTTCTCTCTGCAAAGTCAACAAACAAGATGCGATTAATGATGACGAATTCTAAATAATAAAAAATATTACTGGTTGAACTTAAATATAAAGATGGGAGAATTCCTTTTTCACATATGAATAATATTTATTCAGTAGCGCAATATACTATCTCAAACGTATACGTAATATTTATCACATATGCATAACATATGATAATCATATTTTTATTTACCATTTATTTCCAATTTTATACTCTTCAATAAATGGATAGATTATGTTTTCTTCATAACATCTTAGTCATGAAAAGCAAAATACGTTATTTAGAAATGTTATTTACATCTGCTTTTCTAGTTCTGCTTTACGATTTACACAATGGAACATGCTAAACAAACTTTAGTAAAGATATCAATCTAACAATCGCTCAACTTTTGTTAAAGAATTATTTCTCAGAATTTTATTTCCTTTTCTTACATCAGCATCTCTACGATTTACAAAGCATAAGACTATTCGATAAAATGATAAGATTTGTTTCGTAACTGTGCATGATATATGATTAAGTTTGATAAATTTTCTTCGTATAAATCGAGAACTAAATATATTTTTTTGTAATAGTTTCAAATAACGTTATTTTCTTTCTTATCAAGAGAAAGGCAGATTTTAATAATTCTTCCTATAAAATATTTTAATAAATCATACTCATCAAAAAATTTAATTTTGAAAACCATTTTATTTGATTAGTACTCATAATTTTTTTCGTGTAGACTTTAAGAACTTGTTTTTTTTCCTGATAATTCTGTATATTTAATGAATTATCTTAAAAACATATAAATCACTTAATTTTACTTTTAATGTTACACTTAAGACAATTATTTAGGTCAGAGATTCCAAGAGTTTTATTTTTAGGTCCAACGTAATCAAATATATATATATATATACATAGATAATGATAATAATAATAAATTGTGTAGCAATAAAAAAGTTGTTTATTTCATATTACATTTATAATTCTCTCTTTGTTTATTTTTATATAATATATTTATTCTAATCACGAGTTTACCGTATTACAAAAGCTTTAATTTTTGGAATATTTATGTTTAGATATTGCCATACGACGCGAGAGCAAGACGATTATTTGCAACATCAGGAGCATTGAAAAAAGTGCAAGAAATACAAGCTGAACCAGGCTCAATACTTATGGAATACATAATGCTTATCAATTGTTGCTTCCCTGAAGAAATTATAAGGTATTTTTTCACATATATTAATCTATCAAACTATTTTTATTTCTTTTCACAATTAAGCCAATCATATACCAAATTGATTAACTTCACAAAATAAAAAGTAGAGAAAATTTATAAAATATTCAGATATATAACATTATTGTATCATTTATTATATTGAACGACCATAAAATTGTTTTTATTTGATTGTGGTAAACCTAATTATTAAGTAAATTTATTTAAAGTATAAAAAGATAAATATTCACCAAGTGCTTGGATAATAAAATGTTAAGTAAACACTAAAAGTAGAATTAAGCACTTTGTTTGTGAATGATTCAAGTGTTATAATAATTATGATTTCTTGCATAGTAGAGAGATATTATACTATTACAATACTTGATGCAAATTGTTATTACTTTACGTTAATCTATCATTAAAATATTCTTTGAACTCTACGCTTCCTTTTTCTGCAGAGTCAGTAATAATTTTATAAAAACAGAAGAAAAATAATTAAAAAAAAACTCACTAATTGTAAAATCTAAATAATATGAAAGTATCAATCAAAGTTTATAAAATTCAAATTTATAATCAAATTAATCTGCTTTACTTGATCTATATCCTTACATTTAATCATATTATATTAATTGAATTTTCATCAACTATGACTTATGTACTTTGTATGCTATAATATTCGAACGTCATACATATTCTCAAACAAATTCAATATTTATACAGTGTGATAGTGAATTGCAACCAAAAACACTAGTTGCTTTTTTGACATAACCCTTCTAAAATCTATTTACTCACCGAATTATTTCAAGAATTTCTTCCTAATTAACGCTAAATTGGATCTCGTAAAGTTGTTTCCACTACCAGTTTGTGCAAAAAAAACCACCTGTTTTTTTAGTCTTGCATGGATCTTAGTTTAACATAAGTTAGTTTGTTAATGTACGAAGTATCCGCCATATTGTCGCACAGCTGATCTTATTGAAATGAGACTGCAGTGGATCAATAACACAGGTTAACAGCCATTTTGCATTTGATATGTTATATATTAATTAATACGTAGTTCTGTGCGTAAGATTTAAATCTACCTTTTAAAATGTATTAGCATGTCAGGTTCTTGAGTAATGTAGATTTTTATATTTTTTATTTTGCTTTCGTTATTCTTTTATTTACGTGTTTATTTTTCTTTTTATTTTCTTTTGTTTCCTACTCTTCTTATAATATAAAGTATGTTGAAACACACATGATGCAATTCTTATCAATCCTTAGCCAAATGTGTTTATTATGACTTTGTTTACCTCAGTTTATGTTTATCTGCATTTTTGTGTTTTTTATGAGAGATATAAAACTTGTGGTGTTTAGAAAGTTAGTAGAAATAGCAACTAGTAAATTTCGTTGTGTAAACCATACGAACAATTATTATTATGTGTGGCGGGAAATTCACTCTAAAATTCAAAGAATATATTATATATTATATTACAAAATAATTTATTAAGTAGTTTTTATTAGTGTAATTTAACATTATATAGCCCAATTTGTTTCGTGACTTTATAGTTATATTTTTTTATAAAAATATATACTATCTGAATAATGGCAAATAGCAACTTCTTAATGTAAATTAATTAATATAAATAAATAAAAATTATGACTTATTATTCTTTTTTTTTATAGATATTATTCACCAGGATATCCAGAAACATTATTAGAAGCAGTGGAACAGTATCAACCAAAATGTCCTTCCTTATTATCCTTGGATCAAAAAATGTCAGATAATGCTGAGTCTGCCTTTTTTATCTCAACGTATGGAGAATAAGGTTAAAAACAAGATAATATTACCCATATGTGAAACATTCGTATTTGAAAAATATTTTAGTTATTCTTATTTATAAAAATATACCTAAATTGGGGCAATAACCTAATATAGAGATATAATAAATATCAATATTTATACAATTAATAAAACATATAATAAAGAGACCTTTTGCAATTTTTTAAGTAGCTTATGAATTCTTTGACGATAGAAGCTCATTAGCTTCGAAACGATAAAATAGGATATGCTCTTTTATTATTTTAATCGTGAACCTTGGGAATTTTTTTTTGAGATTATATACATCAAACACCAAATTGTCCATTTTTAAACGGAAGTAATAGACACAGTATCTCCACTCCTAATGCAATCAAGACACTTCCGGTGCCATTCTTCCGAATGTTATTTATTATATATCATTTGACTCGAATATTCATTAAATAAAAAATAAATACTATACGTTACTATTTTAGTATTAAAAAAAGCGCAAGAAATATTTGAGATTTTTGTGAATGCAGTGGTAGATGTTGACCGTCTCGTTAATATAAAGAATTGAAAATTCTAACCTGAAATTTTAAAATAAGAATCAGTAAGTATTTTCATATCCAAATTTTTATTATATTTTATGGTAAAACATTGACAATTTAATACTTTTTTATTAGACAAAATACTGTAGCAATAAAAATCTAATGATAGCAAAATATTTTTATTCTAGGAAAAAAAATGTGCACATGTGTTAATTGAAAATCTGTACCAAATATTTCTAATATGAACATCAGCGCATCAAATTATACAAAAACTTCTACAAAGGGCAATCAAGAATCAAATATGTTATCAAAGAAACAAAAACTAAGTTCATATGATCCTAAGGAAGAAGCTAGGTAATTTTAATTGTATTTTATTTGTTAGCATGTCAGATAATTGTTCAACTAATGAATAGTTATATATGAAATTTATTTTTAATAAAAATTTGCTGATACAATTATAGACAAAAAGCTTCAAATAAATCAATAAATATTTTAAAAAGATAGAATCAGATTCATATATTTTCTCATTACAAATATAAATAAATTTTTGTATTGAAATAGTTTTTTCTACTAATTTTGATATACTATGTAATAATCAATTGTATATAATATGTATAATATGTAATGTAATAAGTTACAATTATGAATTGTAGATTGGAACAGATTGTTTTTGGAGATGTAAGTGATGTCATAAGTAATTTACCACATGACAATCATATTGAAAAAGCAAATAAAAGCACGACTATACATTTGGATGATGCGGATGATGCTGATGATGTAGAAGTTAAAGATGAGATACTTTCTACGAATTCTGACGAAAATAGTGATGAGGATGAAAAAAAAGAGGAAAAAAAAGAGGAAAAAAAAAGAGTTTGGGTGGATGAAGATGATGCAAAATATACGTAAGTGTATGAAGTATTTTTTAAATAGATCGATTATCGCATACTGTTATTTATATTCATTAATTAAATTTATTCTATAATAATTAAAGTGTAAAAATGGCATTTAATATTAAACAACTCAAGATTCCCAACACAAGACCTGAGAAATTTTATACGGAATTCTTGGAGAATAAGTACAAAAAGCTTGTAGGTACTCCGAAATGGGCAGAATTTAATAGAGTACCAGATAATTTTGATGATATAGATTATGATATCTTGAAGGTATTATTATGCTTCTACTACTCTGAATTTAAAGTAAAATAATTGAATATATTATATTTAAATAAATAGATATTTTCTTAATTTTAGCATAGCTCTCACTTAGAAGCACCACAATTGAAGAGCTTGCCAAAAGACAATATCGATATTAAAGCCATGAAACCAATAAATCAAAAGACATTTAATGAAGGTCCTATAGTATCAAGTTTGGAATTTCATCCAACCTCTACATTAGCTCTTGTTGCTGGTTCAGCTGGAATTTTGTCTCTTTTTCAGGTTAGTAAAAATATTATTTTTGTTTTAAATAGTTAATATATAAAAAGACAATTTTTAATATCTACAGATTGATGGTATAGAAAACAATAAATTGTACAGTACTCAGTACAAACATTTTCCAATTAGTAAAGCAAAATTTCTCAAAGAAGGAACTGAAGTTATATTAGGATCTCAGTTTTACTCATATTGCCATTCTTATAATTTAATTAGTGGAAAAACTTATAAAATACCATTACCAAGTCTTATTACTAACATGAAGGTTTGGAAATTTATTTGTTGTATTATATTAATGATACTTTCTGTGAGATATTTTTATTTTAATAAGTTTTTAATATAATGTTATTCAGAGATATGAAGTATCTCCTGATGGACGATTGATAGCACTGTGTGGAAGATCAGGTGAAATTTATTTATTAACGAGTTCTTCTAAAGAACTTATCGGCACCCTAAAGATGAATACGAAATGCCGAACAGTTTCATTTACTCCTGATAGTAAAAGACTCGTATCACATGGAGGTAAATAATACAAATATTTCATTTATTTTCAAAGTAGAATTATATAATTCAATATTCTTTTTATTGCATGTTTGAAGATGGTCATGAAATGTATATTTGGGATATAAACAGTCGAACTTGTATACATCGTGCAGTAGATGATGGATGCTTGTCTTGTGCAGTAACTGCAATATCTCCGAATGGTCAATTTTTAGCTACTGGAAGTAGGGAAGGAATTGTTAATTTATATGACGTAAATAGATTACTTCAAGAAAAATTTCCAGTTCCTCTTAAAGCAATTTGCAATCTTGTTACTCCTATTTCTGCATTGAAATTCAACCCTACATCAGAGATATTAGCCATGGCTTCTGATCAAAAAGCAAATGCTTTTAGAATGTTACATTTGCCGTCATTAAATGTATTTTTTAATTTTCCCACATTTCAAACAACAATATCAATGCCCTCTGATATTGATTTTTCTCCTAACAGCGGTTACTTAGGTATATCAAATTTGTCATACAAAGCATTTTTATACAGATTGAAACATTATGGAAATTATTAAGTATTATTTTGTTGTAAAAATTGTCTAAGTATACAGTCGATATAAACTTATAATATATAAATCTTATAAAGATATCTTATAAGAAATTTTTACAAACATTCAAATCTTATCCTTTATACTTTGTATTTCATGATCATATGTACATATCATAGTTGTATGTATTTTTTTTTTTTTATAATATAATTATATACTAAACTGAAATTCTTCTATCATTATATATAAATAAAGATTCGAAATAAGTTATCCTTTTTTTATTGTGAAATTAAAAAATTTAGGATATGAACTTTTAATTAAAAATAAATATGTGTTTGAGTCAGTAAATAACATCATAATTTTGTCAATTTTATTTTTAGTATGTAAGAAAAATGACAGAGAATAGTATTTTTTTCTGTACTCTGCCTATTCATGAATCTTCAAGCCACAAAGAAATAAATTTTGAAAATAATAATAAATGCAGCTTGAAAATATTGTTATAGCTACTCACGACACATTATTTGTAAAAAATAGATGTGTACTCTTTAGAAGTACACATTTTATTTTTACAGAAAAACATGATTAAGTTTTATTTACAAATTAAAAGTGTTTGTAGAAATCTCTAGAATACATTAAGCTATATTATATACATATTATTGATATTTAAAATAAAGAAAATGTGTTTTTGTATGAAACTTAAAAAAATAGTTTAATTAATTATTATTGCCTTATTAAATCATAATTAAATTATATTCTAAATAAATGGTGCACCCATTTAGATAACAAATAATTAAATGTAATATATTTAATATTTGTACTAAAATTCTATATGAAAATATCACTTTTATAAAAAAGCTTAGATATAGAGAACAAAAAATATGACGCTGTATTGGGTTATCCAGAAAATTTGTAAGTGATTTTTTATAACATTGTTTAGATTTCATTGTATTAATTCTTTTGCTCCGAAGAATGTATGCAGAGTGTTTCATAAATACATTTTAACACTAAACTTACCATGCGTGATCAAATGATCGCGTCCTGTAATTTGTAAAAATTCTATAACTTTTAAAAAATCAGGTAAAAACGCATAAAATTTACATTATTCATTTCTAAATAAAAGAGAATATATTGTTCACTATCCAATTGGCTAAAGTTTCTTTTTATATGAAGATATGTTTTTTGTTAAAACGGTCATTCGACCGCTCGTGGTAAAAATAGGTATACATAGTGTTAATACTTATACTTTTACACATCAAAATAAGGAAAAATATATGAACATATTGTCTGATACACGTTAATCATATGAAAATATTATAAGATATTCGAGAAACATTGTCCCTTATGCTATTCTTGGAAACTCAACAAACTAAAATACTTGAGACCTTCTTTGTTACTAAGTTCGAACAAAGGTAGACTTATTAAGTACAGACCCAACTGGAAATCATAAAATCTTTGTCTATGGAAACAAAAAAAAGTACATCAATTATAAAAATAAAACTTTCCTAGAATATAGAATGTTTTCATCCATTTATAAGAACGATTGGGGTAAGAGGCAGACACTTCAAACATTTTTTAATTATGCTTAATTCAAAAACGGACAAATGTTCATATAAAATTTTATACTTATTATAGTGTGTAGATATATTTCTTGAAGTATTGACATGCATTTATAAAACACACATGCTTAAATAATTGACGTTTCTGTAAAATTGTAAAATAATACAAGTTGGGTGTTTGACAACATTGTTTTCAATAATGTGCTTTAGCTGTTTGTATCGATTTTTAAGTAATGCATTCCATTCACTAGGATCACATTTTATTACAAGCATGCCGTGGAGAAAAGGTTAATATTAGCAAAAATAAAAAATTACTATTAAATTTTTATTACAAATCAATAAAAAATATCTGAATAACCCAATATCTAAATGATCTTATTGCTTCTTAAAGATTACCTCTCCTTTGGTCATTTTTCATTTTAACATTCGATCCAAATATACACTTTTACGAACGAGTCAAGATATTTATATCTAGCAAAGAGAGACCACAATTAACTCGTCACGAAATTTGATTTTCTTTATGGCAAATTTGTAACGAATATAAATAAGTTCTGCCAGAGCTTTTAATCTCATTGGCACTGGCCAATAGCAAATTTTTCATTAATATCTCACATCAATATATCTTACAAGCTTAATTGCTCTAAATTTCAAATATAAAAAACATTCTTTACAAGATCAATGGGATCAAAAGTTCTAGCAGAACTTATTTATATTTGCTGTAAATTTACTACATAGAAGAATATCAAAACCTATGATCTGTCCATTGCGGCCTCTCCTTGTAAGTAACATATATACAATGAACTTTCTTTCCTTCGTAGGTATAACATGTACTATAAAATTATTTATACAGTTATGTTTATGCATAAATGTGGTTTTCAACAACATAATATGCTTTTATACACATTCACTGGTAGTCTTTAAATAATTACACTATAACTTATGTAAAAAATAGCCACTATAATATTTACAAAATTTTATATACTTCCATTAGCCAGGAATTTTCATATCTTAAGTCTTCATCTCTTTTTTTAATTTTGAAGTTTCTAAAGTAGATTGTTCTCCCTCTACATTCCTTTGGTGAATGGGTGTAAGGAACACTAGCTATTGGTCCCCTGCAGTTGCAAGAGTATTAGTTTCTGCACTACTGCTTTCTACTATAAGCATAACTGTTTCAGCTGCACCTCGCACACATTCTACTTGATGACCAGCCCAATCTTTACGTTGACAAAACGTAGAACAGTATGGTGTACGTCTGCATAGAGAACACTCAGCAAATGCCTCTCGATTACAATTAGCACACTAAAAACAAAAACTTTAATTAAAAGTAGAAATAAATAACATTAACATACGTGCAAGAATAAAATGTTTTATACACAATACACAAAAGCATGAACACACTTAATCTTACTTTTTTATTGTGAGCGTCGGATGCAGGTTGTAACCCAACAGATTCAATAACATCTCCTCTAGAACCCAACTGTGCAACTAATGTTTGCTCCCTTCTTTGTTGCCTATTAAATTCTTTTACATCTTCTAATGTACGTTTAAATTCATAAGCTAATTTTAACATTTTACTCGACATTTCATCTAATTTTTTTAAAAGATCTTCAGTCTGTACAGTTTCTGGTGGATGTACATTTTGTACTACAGTATCCTGATCTTGAGATTGTTGTACAACTAAACCTTCTGCTGATACAAATTGTGGCCAAACTTCTTTATCAGGAACAACTACTTCACTGTCACTTTCGTCATTATTACTACCATCCCTCGAATTCTCAGTTTTGTGTTTTCGAATTGGAATTTCACCATCTGAGATATCCCTGGCTCTTCTTCGACGTTTATATGGTGTAAATAGCCGTACAGGACCTGTCTATAAATGCAAATGTTTAATATTAAGCCCTTTAAATTAAATGATAATAAGTTAACCAAAAACAAAATAAAGAAAATACATTACTCACTGCACTGTCATCATCACAACAAGCAGCACAGGTGCATGATGTTGCATGTGGCTTTAAAATTTGTTCATCTATAAGTGTTTGCAAGCTTCTACCACCAAATCGAATGCTTCGTTTCCAATCTTTACTTGATGCTCTACCACAATATGCTTCGAATTCACTTGGAGTGTACCAGTCTGGTCCTAATTTGATACACCGTCCTCTTCCTCCAGAGCCAAATCTACTTTTATGCAATTCGGCATTTGTGTTTTTGCATCTTACAGGTAAAACTGCTAAATTGGCAGATTCTGACCAACTGCATATTGGTTGCGAGTTAGCAGCAGATACATGTATTTGGTCAGATTCTGTTTCGTCAGTACTATTTTGAATAACTATATGAGTTGCCTTTAATTCTCCATTCCATCTCAAAGGATCTGCATCTTTATCGTGACGTGATTCACAAATAAAGCCATTGTCAACGCATAGCATTTGCTTGAATTGTCCAGACCCAGGCAACTACAAAAAAAGAAAAGAACTTTATTTATATATTGTATATTATTCATAAAATAATATAAACAGATTAATTTAACGATGAAGTACAGTTTCGTTCACGAGCATATTTGAATTACTCATGTATCATACATGAATTATAAAATTCAATGACGAAAATAATCGTATATAGAGAACATATGTATATATATAATTTGTATATACATATAGAGTATACATGAGTATAAATTTACATCAGAACTCGATTACATTGTTAAAAATTACACTTAATCGTTAATTAACAAATGATCTTAGAATCCAGTATGTCATGATTTTCTTTTTCTTTTTTTATTTATACTTGTAATTGCTCCGAAGTGATGACGTTGAAGGTCGTCCCATTGGTAGAGTTTGCCACACCGATGATAGAACCAACAGGCAAAGAAACCGGTACACCAACTCCAGGAACACCCGTAACACCCGGTACAGAAGTCACGCTCGCTGTAACGGCTACAGGATGCGCCTCATGCTCGGTCGTTAAAGCGGACGCTTCCTCGGTTTCGCTCGTCAACGGTTCGGACATGTCCGGTAACACAGCGACACTTTCCGATGTTTGGTTCTCCTCCATTTCGGCTGTTCTCGCCTCATGCAATAAATTGCATTAGTGCGCATGCTCCTAATAGCGCCACGCTAAACTTTCATAATGCCCGAGCAAGCGCTTCTTTCTTCTTACTCTTATGATATTATTATGAATCTTCATTAGTTTCTACATGGGATAGATTATTTTTCTATATTTATACTCCGAAAGGATGACTTTACTGAGATAAATAATCTCTTTTGCTTTTACATGTGCTTATTTGAATCCTTTTAAAACATCACAAAGGAAGGATCAATCGAGTATATTATTATTGGACAAGGACATCTTTATTCATTTCACGCAGCGGTAAAATTAAATTTGAAATGATTATTTAAAGTTATATCCTAATAATAACACGAATATATAGAATTTCTTTGAAAGATAATATAAGTAAAATATATGATAATTATTTTTATACAATATATTATCTTATCCCATAGTAATTTATATACGATCTTATTATAAATATCTTATAATTTTATTTATATATATAGTTTCAGATTGCGAAAATTATAGAGCATACATTTTGAAAGTACCATTATTATAATACATTATTTATATATATAATGTAAATATTCACATACAATAATTAGTATTTTTGTTTCGAAAGACTTTTACACAATGAAAATACTTTTTTATTGGTTATTGTGAATAGAAAAAAGCATTACAAATAATCATGGATGAGCAATCTGTTGAGAAAAAAAGTATTATTTATATTTGTTATATTTTTAGTAATACATTTTTAATAAATTTAACAATTTTTTGTAGCATCTGCAAATAACTTAACGAGTTCGGAATTATACGAAAATGAAGGATCGATCGAAATGTCAAATGATTCTCAGCTTCTAGAGGAATCGCCGATAACGGCAATACAAACATCATTAATTTTAATGAAATTAGAAATGATTAAGCCAAGTATGGAAAATGTGCCATCAACGAACTCGGAAAAAGCTTTTACCTGTATCGAAGAAAATACGAGGATGGAATTGCCCTTTTTAGATAATTCAAACAATGAATCAATACAAAATTTAACTAATATCGAAGAAAACATTATTAGCGGTTCAACATTTACTTTTTCTACAAAACAAACAAAGGAGGTAGAAGCGTTTCAAAATAAATTTAAAAGTTATTTCTTTTATATACAGGGTGTATTCGAACGAATGGTATTGCTGGGGATAGGTGGGAGACCAGGGGTAATTTTACATGTAAATTGAAAAAAAAATAAATAAGATATGTTTGTTTGAGATTCTATTTACGAAAATCGGTTTTAAAAATTCTGTGGAGTACATGATACTTCATACTGAACTATTTACGAATTTAAATGTGTCCGGATATACCCTGTATATTAAAAATTACTTTTATTTTTAATACAAAAGCGTTGCCTTTGGATTTTGTGTTAAAATTATACGAATTTTCTAAACAACTCAGTATTATTTACATACATTATATGTGTATTTTAATTAATTCTTTGATTAATCATTTGACAGATGTCAATGAAACTTATGATTAGCTGCGACACTATAACAACGCAAGCAGCAACCCCTTATTCTTCATCCATGTCTGCAAGTACACTTGTACCATCAAGAGATATTTTACAAATATCTGCAGCTCCCTTATCCTCTATAGGATCTACTCCTAAAAGCGAAATTTTAACATTCACTACCGATTATAACAATCGTTCACCCGATACTTGTAGTGTACTCGTAGATGTAGTTGACCAGCACGATCCATTATCGACTTGTAAGTTTCTTTTTTTATGTTAATAAAATATAAAATTTAGCACAGATTGTATGAGATTCATTAACTATAAAAATAAAGTAAAATATATTTATTATATAAATATTATTTTGTTTTCGTTTAAGTTAATCGAGATCTACAGCTATCAATCGAGGAGTCGTTTGATTTACCACAACGAAGTATATCATCTATAAGAAATGATTTTGCAAATCGAGCAAGACAATCTCGTCAAACTTGGAAATTTGGAAAATGTTTGTGTTGTACTGCACCGATAGACGATGAGGTTTCAATGTTTTATTTCTTTCAGGATTTAATCGATTGTATCATAGGTGCTTCTACATATTTTTAATCAATTCGCCTAACAGATTGATACGTTACCACATTTAAGAGAAGATCCACCTACATATTCATCGATATACGTTAACCCAACAACGATATTACATCAAAGATCACCAGTTACGCGATCTAATTTGCGGGGTAATGGAAGATTTATTTTTCCAGATACTAATCAATCGTCTTTCATAGCACCTATTCCTCCACCAAGTTATGCTCAAGCTCAGGGTATTCAACTTAACTCATATTCAACTGAACAAAATCTCTCGGTTTCATGTAAATATATTATTAATATTCAATTTGTTGAAATTTTATCTCCTTGGTGTAATAAATAAGAATATTTTGTTTAAATCTTGCTATGATGTTCTTATAAATTCATTACTTTTTCATTTATTTTTTAGCAAATATTAATACTTGGTCCTCAAGACCTGTAGCTACTATTTGTACAAGATGTTTAGCCCTTATCGTTACCACAACAGAAGTTCGTCGATCGACTATTACACATTTAAGTGCATTTCTTCTTTGCCTATGTGGGTTAGTAAATAAATACAAAAAGTGTCATATATTTATCCTTTAATATATTCTTTATATTTGGAATATGAAATATTTTTAAACATAATATTTATTAATTAATTTATTAAGAAGTAGAGAGAGAGAGTACTTTTTGCTAGATAAAATTAGTTTTCTATAATGCTACATTATAGAATTATATTAATATTTTAAATATATTAGTTATTAATTATCTATTGATATTGATTTATTAATAATAGATGCTGGCCTTGTTGTATGATCCCATATTGTTTAAATTCCTGTAGAAGTACCGATCATTATTGTCCCATTTGTCGCACACATCTCGGAACTTACACACCTTGGTAATTTAAACATATTTCTCACAAAATTTTGTATTGTAGATATTCTTCGTCTTTTTTTTAATAATTATTAGGTATAAAAACATTAAATAAAGTTAAATGTTCATCGAATGATTTAAAAATTTGAAAAATACCGCGCAAATTAAGGAATGACATTAAGCGGGAAATTTAAATATTGTCCGTAAATTAAAGGGAAATATAATTATATTTAAAAAATATTAAAATCACTTTTACTTAGTTGATTATCAATAAAACTTCATTACAATTTGTTTAGTGAGTGCATATGAATGAAGATAAACGATAAAATTAATAATAGAGATAAATCTAACTGAAAATTTTAATCAATTATTTATACATAGCTTTTTTATTGATAATTAAAATGAAATCTATTATCTGTATAATTGATATATTTTAAGAAACTAAAGATGCGTATTTAAAGTTCAATCGTGGTATAATCCTGATTATGGCATTTGTGTGCAACATTTTAAATAAATCTATAGTTGAATTTATGATGTGTATACGATGAAATTGACAAATGGCGAAAGGCAATTTTTAATACGTCGTTTTTGAAACTTCTAATATTACGTATATTAAACTTTTCGATGACACATTGCATTGTAAGATCAATATTTCGATGTATCGTTTTCGTAAGAAACGAGAGAAAAGCTAAGAATAAAAGAAATAAACGTGAAAAAAAATTAAATGCCTAGAAATTGTTTATATACATATTTATATGGTTATAATAAGTTAACCTGCAACAAGTGAATGTTTTAACTATCAAAGAAAACTATTTTTATAATAATATGAAAAATTCACATAATTTTGAGAGTGACATTTCTTGTAATATTATGTAATTAAAAATGACTGGGTTACTTGGTTTTTTTATAGGCTTTTTTATATTGTACTGTCATTTTACTTGGTAAGTACTTGATGATTTATATACAAAACTATATGTACATATATATTCTGTTCTGTTTTTTCATTCTAACAATTTTTTAATTATTGATTTATTACAGGGTAATCCCAAGGTTGTTATCATGGCTAGTAAAAAGAAAATATAAAATCCATCTAAGGGTTGGTCATATTTCTTTACCGTATTTTATTCTTCGTGATGTCAATATATCTAAGAATGGCTTCACGTTGGTTAGTGTAATTTTTATATTTATTGATAACATGTTTTCATGATTTAAATGTCAATATATTTTACGTGTATTTTGTTTTATTTCTAGCAAGTTGAAGAAATAAGTGTTCGTAGTAGTTTATTCAGCAGCGATGTAGCTAAATTATTAGCAGTAGTTATGCGTGATGTTAGAATTAATAAAGATGTTCCTATTGAATCTAACGATCATTCGAATAAAACAAGTAAATTATTAGATTTTAGGGATAAAAAAGTTTCACCGATAATCATAACATTTGTACAGGTAATATATATACATGTATATATAATAATCTTCATTATTTCTTATAAAATATTATTAAATATATGCTATTATTCATATTTATATATATGATTTCTTAGTTTATGGCAGTACATATTGAGAATTTGAGTCTTCTTGCACTTGGTAATGGTTGGTTAGCTAATGGCAGTGCAGAAAGCCTTAGTTTAGATGGCAGCGTTGTTCATGGAGCACGTACTCTACTAGCATCTGCTACAGTTTCTGGAGGAGCAATGAAACTATTAAGACATGCATCTGATGCTTGCTTGTCGCAGATCACTTTTGCTGGTACAGCAGAAGCAACTCTTAAAGCTCAAGGAGAAATTTCAGTGGAGGTATAGCAATGATAAATAACATTACTATATTTATAATTGTTAAATGCAATTTTAATTTTTTCCTATTCTTATTTATATATAGAAATTGTATGTTGGTGTGACACAAACGGAAGGCTCTGGAGGGCCAGGTCTTATGCAGTTTTTAAGAGATAGAAAATCATTAGCAACCGGTGCTTCATACTCTAATATAGATAGCAATTCTACTGATAATCTACTAGCTAGATTAGCACCAATAATACCAAAGGTAAAAGCTAATCTTTATATTTACCTTTTAATAATTATATATATATATATTAACTGTATTTATAATTGATATTTCAGGACTTTATGTTAAAAATAGGAAATTCTTCTGTAATCGCAGGAAGAGAAGATGGTGGGGGTATTGTTGGTTTAGAAGGCATATTAAAAGGATTACAAGCTATAGCAAAATTTCAACCACATAGCCCTCAATTAAATTTTACTATTAATTTAGAAGGGTTATCCATTCGTGGAAAGTTTCCTGTTGTTACTTTGCAATCATTACTAATAGATGCAAAAGTAAGCTTATATGATATTAACATTTATCAAATTTATTTTAAAGTTTATTTAAAAATATATATAAAAGATGTCTGAGGGTGTTATGACCTGGATAGTGATATAGCCCAGAGGTGAGCTATTGACAAATTATAGATACTGAAAAGGGACCATTTTTTCCTGATAGCCAAATAACTAGATCAAAAAGTTTTGCAAAAATATTTGGAGTTTAACCAAAAACTCTGACGCAATCCTTAGGTGGGCCATAATACCCTCAGTTATCTTATATATTGTTTAATTGCTTTTTATATATTTATAATTTTTCCAAATAGATGGAGCAAGATATTTTACAAATATCAGTTCAACTGAGTAGTCTTGTAATCTTTTATGATTACAAAGATTGGGAATCAATATTGCAAAGTGCACAAAATGAAATATCCAAGCCTGTTGATCGCGTGTCCTTAACTAGAAAACTGCCATGGGTTGAAGTTAAGATAAATACTGAACTATGCGATTCATCTTTGGTTGTAAAACTTCCGGATGCACCAGAGGCTTCTTGTGGAGTAGCACATGTGAAATTTTCTTTAAACACAGTTCTAGGTATAAATTGAATTCAACGAAAGGATTTGGTTTGTTGACATTTTTCAGAATTTGAATAATGTAAGTTTTCTATTGAATAGGTGAAATTGTAGATTGCAATTCAGAATTGATAATAGAATCCTTATTTTGTGCTTTAAATGGAGCTGTTACAAATAATCTTGAAACGTCTCATTGTTGGGGTAGTCCACTTTCAGTCGGTGTGTTATTAGCAACAACTCGTACAAATGCTATAGGAATTGCTGTGGATGCTCTTGTAACAGAATGGAGCTTGGATCTCGCCCGATTTCTTGAGCAAGCTTTTAAGTAATTATTTAAATGTATATATTTTTAATATGATTCTTATTATATCAATTTTATGTTTATATAATAGACATTTATTTTCAGGTGTTGTAAAAAATACATAAAACCTACAAAAGAAAAAATTAAGAGATCAGAAAATACTACTCAATTAAATCTTAAAGTTACAAATTGTAATATATTTTTTATTGCTGAAAATGAGTTATGTATTATGATGCGTCTTGATGCTGCAAGTATGGAGAATAGTATTAAACGACTAGTAGCAGTTGCTGAAGGAGTGAGCGCTATAACTCTCAATAAATATGAACCAGTTGTTTGCCAACATGCACAAGCTTTGACTCATCCATTTTTAGCTATACGAAAATGTAAATGTGCTATTACTTCAGATACTATAAATATAAGTCTTGATGGCACAAGGTTAGCATGGAGTCCTAACTTACATTTACGTCTTTTATTATTTTGGATGGAGTCTAAAGATTTTAGATCAATTATATCCAAAGAAACATTAACAAATGAAGATGTAGGTGCTCAAAGAAAAAAGCGTTTTGTAGATTTATTAGCTACTGGAGGAATTACTCTTTCGATTGATATTTCACCAAAGCATTTCTTAGAACTTTCTTCGGGTCAACTACGTTGGGTACAGGGTGAATGGAAGCTTAATTATATTCGTGCAACATTAGATATGGCTGATATAATTATGATTGAAGGATTTGAATTAGTTAGAGTGTCTAATAATGAAGAAGTACGTTTAGAAAGACAGAATAATGAAGGGTTTTTCTTAGAATGGAATGAAACCTGGGCTCTCAATATTGAATCAGTTAAGGCTTGTTTTCCTTACGAACATAAATTTACTGAAGCTATACAAAATGAACTATTTAGTATTAAGAGATGGTTAAAGGACATTCATTCAACAGGATCAGTTAAACAAACGCATTTGCCATGCGATCTAATTATAAAAGTAAATATATATCTATATATATTTATTATTTATGATAAATGCACTACTACATCTTTTTTATTATAACTGCATAAAGATTTAATTATATTCACATACTTTCAATAATACTATGTATTACAGATTAAAGAGTGGATTTTTGAAGTAAGCGATGATCCATTTGAAGTTCGATTACGAGATAATTATGAACTTTTAGAAGATGAATATAAAGAAAGTTTAAAACGTCAAGCAATGCTGGATGCTAAAGTAGAAGAACTTTGTCGTGCTCATTTACTTCTTCCACAAGGCAAAGTAGAAGAGTTGTATGCTAGTCTGAATAAGAAAAATGCAGAAATATATGTACAGAGATGGAAACAAATGCAACGTGCAGGACCAGCCAGAACAAGATTATTTGCTTGGTCTATGTTAGATTTAGAAATATTAGCTTTAGCTGATCCATCTATAAATGGCACGGAAAATGCAACTAAAGCTATAAGAGAAATGGATCCAGAAACTCCTTGGCCTGAAGATGGCTTGGAGTTCAATACACTTTGGGTTAGAGGCATCAGTTTAAA